AGCGTGAGTTTTAAGCCACCGGGTCCGGGACTTGAACCGCGGTTGACTACGTGGGAGTCCAGCGACATAGCCATTACGCTAACTGCTGGTACCCTGAATAAATAATTCTTTAAAAAACAATTTTTTAAAGCTGTGGTTCAAGTCCTGAACTTGGCGGTTTGCTTTCTCACTTTCTTTCTCTGTTAAAGCAAATTAAAGATAGTAACGACATTAAATAAATGTTTAAAAGGGCAGTGAGGGGTCTGGATTGGGGTGTTTCGGCGGCTGAGGCAGCAGTGGAGATGCGCACGCTCCTGGGTCTTGCTCAGACAGTGAGGTTCTGCTAAGAGCTCCCGGCCACCTACTGACCACAGCTTTGACGACACCTCTGTCCCTCCTGCCCCTACTGGGTCACCTTGTCCTCTCCCTCTCACAGGGTGACACCCAGACAGACTCTGGGTGGACCAGCAGGTTCCAACCACACACGAGCACGGACAGAAAACCAGAGGGCACCCTTGACAACCAGAAAAGAATCTCTTTAATCTGTAGCCATAAGACCGATAGAACTGAAAACATAGCCCTAGATCGGATCCCGCAGGCTGCAGGGTTACAACCCACGCTGCGCTGCAGCCTCGCCGGATCTCTTCTGTGAAATGAGGGCACGGACCTGGAAGGAGTGGGACCCTGAGATAGTAGAGGGGCGCCTGGGTGGACCTGGAGACCCGAGTCCCGAGGTGAGGAAGAACAGTGTGAGCCTGAGCTCAGTCGCTCCGCTGCGGACAGAGCGCCATGCACGCCCAGCCTTCTCCATGCCAGCCAGGCACTGCTGACCCGCCTCGGGGCCCAGCCTTCCATGAGAGCAGAGAGCTGCAGCTGTTTATTGCTTTGTCACCTGAAGTGGACATGAGACCTGACACCACCACCTAGTGAGGATGGGAACTCAGCTGGGGCCCAGTGCCCTCCGGCTGGTGCCTCCCCTGCTCTGCCTCAGTGTCCTCGTGTACAGGCCCGACGACTGCATCTCCTGGGCTTCGGGGACAAGTGCGAGGTGAGGGAGGGATGGCGCCACTGTGCCTCTGCCTCTGTCTTTCAAGGCAGTCTCGGCCCCCCATGGGGAAACTAGGAGGGAAACCTCCCACTTAGAAGGCCATCTGTCCCCTGGGGGAGCGTGGTGCAGGCCAGGAATCTGCAATCTGGCGTTTTGGGAGTGCGTGACACCATTTCCCAGGGGCCCCTGTCAGCCCCAGGCTGGGCCCTGCCACCCTGAACTGACCCAGACACCCCCAAAGGAGAGGCTTTTTAGAGTGGAGAGGAGCCCATGTCTGAGAGCCGCAGCCACTGGGCCTCCCAGCCTCCTCCTGTGAAGCTGCTGCACAGGCAAGGCGGGGTCAAGCTCAGAGCTGGACCCCGGCCTCACGGCCTCTGCCCCAGGAGGCAGGGACCATGGTCCAGGGCTGGCTCGTAGTCGGGGAGGGAGGGAGAGGTGCAGTCGGCCAGGCTGCCCGACCAGCACTGGGGCCGATGCCAGTGCTGCCTTGTCGGAGACCTGGCCACACCTCAGTGTCCTCACGGGAAAGCAGGCGTGCCCCGGGGAGACTGCTGATGGCGAGAGAACAGGGAGGTGGCCAGCGCCTGCCCGGCCCGCCTGCCCCCTCCTAGTGCGCTGTGGCAGAAGTGAGGCTGTGACAGGCTGTGCCCCTTTCTGAAGTGTCTGTCACACGATGCACTCGAGACTTTGAGAAGTGAGACAGGAGCAGGGCTAGGGACCAGCCGTGGCCGACGATGGTGACAGGTCCTGAGCAGGAAAGGCACGTGACTCTCCACCTACTTCGACTGGACAAGACAGAAACCCACAGGGCGAGCCTCAGCAGGCTGGCACAAGGCCGTGGAGCTCTCTGCTGAGGGGACCCCACGAGTCCTGCAGTCCCTGGCCTGCCACCAGTGCCGCTGAGGTGCACACTGGGCCCTGCATGGCCTGCCACCTGACCATGGGCTCCTGGAGCATCCCAGGATGGGAAGGGGTGGGGCGGGATGCCAGGCAGTTGGGGTAGCACCAGAGGATGGACCAGCCATGGCTGAATCAGTTGGGGTGACCCAGGGCCCCAGGGTTGGGTGTCTACAGTGGACCCAGCGCCCCTGCCTCAGATGTGGCTATCCCCACTGCCATGAGGCTCTGCTACACACCCTGGGAACAGGGACAATGACACTCTGAGGCAGGGTCACACCTGCAGGAACTGGGACAACCCTGCGGAGAAAGCCCTGTCCCCGCACCTGCTTATTCAAGTACTAAGTATTATGTGGATATGTGGCTGGCAGGGCGAGCCGCCTGCTGGAGGGACACAGTGTGGGGGTCTTAGGTTCAGGTGGGAGCAGAGTGGGCTGGGACATTCCCGCCTGGCTCTCTGCCCCTCCTGACAGTGGGCTGGGAGGGTGCTGGGACCGCACCCTGCAGGCCACGGAGGGGCCCAGAGTTGGCGCCAGCTCACTGAGCTACTGGGGAGTCAGGATGAATCTGTGCTTGAATTTGGGGAGGATGTTGCTGGGAGGGGGTGGCCCTAGGGAGAAGGGAAGGAGGCCCTGGCCCGGCTGCCCCAGGACAGGAAGCAGAGGGAGGAGGCAGCCTGGTCCCGTAGTCCGCTCTTTCCTTCAACTGCACCAGGAGGGTACCCAACCTTAGAGGGACCAGGGGCTTCTCCAGTCCCTCACAAGAGCCGTCACGAATAGCTAGGGAGGATGGAGGAAGGGGAAGGGGCTGCCCTCGGCTCTCAGGAATTCCTGGAGGCCTCACACAGTGACTGCTAGTCCACACTGTGACGCGGAGCAGCCGGGGCTCTGCTCAGGGACACTGCCACGCCGGGTAGGCTGCCAGGTCTCCGGTACAGATCGCGATGGTCCTGACGGGCGGGAAGGCATCCGAGCACAGATGTCTGGGAGGGGGGGTCTGGGTGCCAAGGCTGGGGCAACAAGGAGGTGACCGGAACAGCAAGTATAAGCCGAAGGGAGGTAAACCATGGCAACCAACACCCCACTTCTACACTCTGGAGGATGGAGGGATTGGGGGGACCAAGATGGCCTCTCCCACACCCCAGGGCCAGCCTCAGAGGAGCCCAGGGATTCAGTGACAACCTCCTCTGAGCCCCAGAGGGGAGGGACAGATCTTAGCCAAGTGGGAAGCCGGGTACGAGAGGGTAGGACTGAGCCCCAAGAAGGCTGGTCCTCCAGAACCAGAGCCTGCTTGGTGTGTGTGCCCCCTGAAACCTGGAGGGCAGGTCCGGGGAGCGGCTGGGACCTGAGATGGGACGTGCCCGGTGACAGCTGGCCAAGAGACCACCCTGAGCCGAGGGGGCAGCAGAGGGAGCCTGGGCTGTGCTTTCCCTCCCTCTGGGCAGTGTGGGCGGTTTTCCGGTCCAGTTTGGCTCCCTCCCACCTCCGCTCTGCAAAGGCCCAGTGGGCGACAGCAGGGGCCAGAGAGGGGCGGGGGCTCCCCATGGGACAGTTGGGGACCTGGGTCTCCTGCAGAGCCATCACACAGGAGGTCAACAGAAGATGAGGGTGCCAAGGAGAGGGGACCACCACCCCACTATCAGCTCGTCCCGAGAGCGAGCATTCACGTGTGTGTGTGTGTGTGTGTGTGTGCGCGCGCGCGCGAGTGTGTGTGCACAGGCAGCTCGGCGGGCGGCTGGTGTTTTTT